TGGAGGAGGAGGAGGAGGAGGCTTCACCTTGTTTCATATCCCAGGGACTGCATGACATGATACATGAACATGCTGTATTCGCCGCACCTTCCTTTCTTCGTCTCTATCACCTGCCGACCATCAAAATCCCTCCCTTCTTCCCTCCTCCATCTGTTCTCTCCCCCTTTCCCCTTCCTTCCGTTGCTGCCCTTCCTGCCCCGCCTTCCCCTTCCTTGTCCTCCTCTTCCCATCTGCTTCCCTCCCCTCTTTCTTCGAGCCTCTTGCTGTTCAGACCTTGTTCACCGTGTTGTATCGCACGAATCGGCTATATCTGAGTCTTGAATCAGCAGGCACAAGGATGGATGGAGGAAGAGGAGGAAGAGAGGAGGAGGAGGACGAGGGAAGGGGTAGAAGGGGCGGAGGTGAAGGAATGGTGATAGAGATTTTGGAAGAAGACAAGGAGGTGGGAGGAAGAGGAGGACGAGGATGAAGAGACTAAAAAAGTGGTGGGAGCGTCGGAGAGCTGAAATCACAGAACGAAACATCACCTGGAGCAGCTGGGGCAAAAGAGGATTTCACTCCGCCGTGCGAGAAATTCTTCTTCTTGCTCGCTCGCCTTCACCGAACCTTGACAGCCATCACAACCCCCCTCCTCTTTGCTTCTCTCCTCCTCCTCCTCCTCCTCCTCCTCTCACCAAGTCTTTGACCCTCCTTGTTGCCGCAGTGAAAGCAACCCTGGTCGTAGTAGGGAAACTCTTTCTTAAACCTGCTCCAACCTCACAACCCCCCCGGCTTCTCTTCCCCTTCACCAATTCAGAAGTTCTTTGAGGGCGCTTTGAGTTTCTTCCAGTGACAAGTTGCTGCCTGCTTGGCATCTCTGATCGATCCCAGTCAGATCTCCTTCCTCCTTCCTCCTCCTCTTATCTCTCTATCCCTCCTCTGCTACCTGTATCAGCGATTCTCCGCATTGTTCTTGAAGCCACTGGAGTAGAGCCGATCCTGAAAGGAATCAGGGCAAACGCACCACGTGAACATGAAAGGGTAGGGGAGTCAGACCTCGCATCGGTTCCGTCTCGAACGATTCCATCAACTGCAAGGCGCGTTAGTTCACTTCCACCTTCCCTCTCTCACCCTCCGCCCTCTCCTCTTCCCTCTCCTCCTCCCTCCTCCCTCTCCTCCTCCCTCCTCCCTCTCCTCCTCCTCGCCATCCCTCGCCAAACCTTAAGGTAACCTTTGACTTCCGCAACCAGCCGTGTATCGGCTGCCATGACATTCTTGGAACTCTGAAGCAAATCGTCCCATCAGCAGAATGGCAACGGCACAGGCGATGACGATGGCGATGACGAGGATGTAAGTGAGGATGATAAGCAGGGAAACCCCACAGGAGGAGGAGGAGAAGAATGGGCATCATCATCATCATCATCATCATCATCAGACGGTTGGGACAAGCGTTCTACCTTGTTCTTGAGCAGGAGGTGACAACTGTTCCAGTGCATTCGCAGCATCGATCGCACGTTGTCGTCGCCGGTGTCGACGTACTTGCTCGAGATGTTAACTTGCTCTTCTGTCCTGCAACGTTTGATTGCGATCAAGATATGCCGTGAGAAACTCAGGATGGAGGACAGGAGGATGGCGAGGAAAGAGGAATGGGGATAGAGGTAAAGAAGCAGAGAACAAGCACAAAGAGGTGGAGATGTAGGGTTGCGGGGACGAGGACAAAGAGGGATGAGGAGATGAGGAGTGCCTAAGGGCACGACAAGGGAGAGGAGGAGGAGGAGGAGGGAGAGGGAGAGGGAGAGGGAGAGGAGGAGGAGGCTGGAAGAAGTAGCCTACAAATTTCTTCCTGCGATATAATCAAGAAAGAGCTTAAACTCGGTCTCGTTGCATCCCAGGCCGTAGAAAGTCTCTGGACCATCCATGGCAGGAAGAGTAGCTTCAAGTAGGAGCTCAAGCTTTCGGCCCTACGAGCGCAGTGAAGGAGAGAGGAGGGAGAGGGGAGGAGGAGAGAGGAGAAGGGGAGGAGAGAGGAGAGAGGAGCATTACATGGAAAAACAACGACTAGCAGGGTAGGAGAGATGCAACACCTGTAGCATGTTGGACGGCTGATTCCAAGTAGCAACAGAGGGCAAGCTCTCATACTGGGCCCTCTCCTCCTGCAAGAGCATCAGGCCTCAGCAACTCTCAACATTTTCCCTCCTCACATTCCCCGAGTCGTAAGGCACCGCTCTCCCCGTGTACAGTCTCCTCCTCCTCCCGTGGAGTCGGATGGGGAGGAAGGGTGAGAGGAGTCGATGTCCCTTTGAAGTCCAAACGCCAGCGGTGCATGCCACCAGCATGACACCCCAGGCGCTGTTGCAGGCCAGGAGTGAGGAGGAGCAGGCAGGGCACAGGAGCATGCTTCACCACCTTGTCTGTGGGCTATCTCTCCATGAGCAGAGGAGATGGTGTAGGGAGAGGAGGGAGGAAGAAGGCAGCGTCCAGGGGTTCCTGCAGTTCGACAGCCTCTTAGCTTCTAGCAAGGGACGAGCACGAGGCCAGCTGAACCTGCTAGAGCTCTCCGTGTTCGAAGGTCTCGCTACGTGCTTGCTTGGCCCAGCGACGTGAAGCTTCGGAAGGAAACTGAAGTGAGGAGACTGCTGCAGCTCCGCATACGCACACATGCTGAGTTGTCGTCAGTGCTTGTAAGAGCCCTAGAGTTCCTTTCCTCACTTGGTCTGCCTTTCCCTCCCCAATTACCAACATATCATTGATTTCCATCACCGCCACCACTAACTTTTCTCATTCACCGTCTCTACCTCTGCCTCTGCCTCCAGCAATGGCTATCCTTTTCGTCCTCTTCGATCTGATCTTCGTCCTCGTCCTCGTCCTCGTCCTCTCCATCCCTGTTCCTAGCCCTGTCCTCGCTTCTACCACCACCACCTCCTCTACCCTGCCACGACTACATCAAGCTCCTTTGAAACCTTCTCTTCCACCTACATCATCACCATCATCACCTCAATTATCACCACCACTACCTCCTCCACTACCCTACCACCACTACCTCCTCCTCCTCCTCCTCCTCCTCCTCCTCC